TTTTTTTTTGCGGTACACGGGCCTCTCACCGTTGTGGCCTCTCCCGTTGCGGAGCACAGGCTCCGGACACGCAGGCCCAGCTGCCATGGCTCACGGGCCCAGCCGCTCCGCGGCATGTGGGATCCGCCCGGACCGCGGCACAAACCTGTGTCCCCTGCATTGGCAGGCAGACTCTCAACCACTGCGCCACCAGGGAAGCCCCGAAATCACCCCTTTTTGAACTCAGGTTTGTGGATTAAATGAGCTACGTAATCATTTGTAGACGCAATCATGCTACAGACCCAATAAAAACTATTTAAATATTCTGTCAGTGCCTTGCAAACATCCCCATAACACATAATGCCTTACAGCGATAAACTGTAAGGCAAATTTCTGTGGTGCCAGTTACTATGGGCATCGATACACAAATGCTGAGTCATTACATGGAAAGGGATTAAAAGGCTGAATATACCTTTAAGAAATGTCTAATGCAACCATAGTTACCTTTCTCATTTCTCCACAGTCTAGTGAGTTTTTGTTCTGTTCCTTAATCCTAGAGTGTACAGTAATCATTTTAGCTGTATCACATAAAGGAAATACAGGGAACAGACAGCTTAATGTGTTCATTTTATTTATTTCATCCATCCAACACCTACAGGATGTTCTAGACTCTGAGGAGAAACAAGAATGAATAAGTCCTTGGACCTCCCTGGTGGCACAGTGGTTAAGAATCCACCTGCCAGAGCAGGGGACACGGGTTCAAGCCCTGGTCCAGGAAGATCCCACATGCCATGGAGCAACTAAGCCCGTGCACCACAACTACTGAGCCTGCGCTCTAGAGCCCACGAGCCACAACTACTGAGCCCACATGCCACAACTACTGAAGCCCGGGTGCCTAGAGCCTGTGCTCCGCAACAAGAGAAGCCACCGCAGTGAGAAGCCCACGCACCATAACAAAGAGTAGCCCCCGTGTGCCGCAGCTAGAGAAAGCCCGCGTGCAGCATCGAAGAACCAATGCAGCCAAAAATAAATAAATAAATACAAAAATACATAAATAAAAAAGAATGAATAAGTTCTATTTTCTACCCTTAGCAAGTTCACTATAAGTAGAAAATCAACTCAACTAATCTCTCATATTGATCCCTCCCTCCTGTGAGTCCCCATGCTATTTTGGAGGCCTTCTTGGGGATATAGTGTAGTCTATCTTTAGAATCTTATGTGTGTTCCTTGCATGCTTCTTGGTGGACTTGGAACTCCTGGAAGCAAAGACTGTGTCTTCCTCATCTTTGTATCCCTGGTTCCCACTATTATTCCTAGTGTATATTTTGAACTTACACGTTTTAAAAATGAATGAATGATCTGATGATTTTGCCACTAACAATCTATAAGACTTCTAACTAGTAATCTAGTATCTCTGGGGCCTGTTTCCTCATCTGTAAGTGAGGAAGTGAGGATAATGCATGCTACATCTTATAAAGTATGATATCAAAATTAGATGCATTAAATTTTGCAGTCTGTGAAACACTATACCAATGAAAAGACTCACTTTTATTAAAATGGAATATATGCTTTCATTTAACTCTCAGTTGCCATTTAACTACACCTGGCAATGATGTTTGAAGGGATCTCAGAGGCCTTACTATTAGTGGAAAACTCAACCATCATACATCCCATAAAATTTTCCTTCCTTGTAATGCTCAATTGTTAAAAAAAAAATTTAAAGTAGGTTCTAATGAAGCATGCTAAGTATAGCTTATTCATCAAACTCTTAACCTCTGTCTTGACCATAAAATATGAATTATTGTGGTATATGGCTCTATTCAGGGTATGATAAATGCTGTACGTACTTCGGGAGGAAACTATAAGGTATGTTTCTGGCTTGCCTTGAGGAAGGAATAAATGGCCTATGCAGTCACTTCCATCTCTGGTTTCAATGATTAATGCATCCTAGAGGAACAACTTTCTTTAGGCTGCAATGCCAGTTGTTATCCTTATTTCATCCCTTGAGTTTTAGAGGGAATGTGAGCTGAAAAATATTTTAGATAACTGTTTTCTTTGACTCCTGCTTGTGTCTTTTACACATTTTTTTTCCATTCTCGAGTTAGTTTTTCTTGTGCATATCTAGGTTTTTATCTAGGAGGACACGGGAGGTGATAGAGATAATGCTGGGCTGTGCCTAAGGTTTGGAGGTAGAGCGGATGCTCAGAAAGCTGCGAGAGACCTCAGCAGCTCAAGTGCCAAAAGGTTTTGTGTGTCTTACCTTGTTACTCACTCATGGCCTCTATGAGGCTTGGGACCAATCAGGATTCCATGTTAGTGCCAGGTCTTCACTTGCTATGTCGTTAGGTGCAGTGGATAAACATTTTGTGAAACCATTTGAGTGTGTTTTGCATTCTTTCATGAGATGGTTAGTCAGGTGTGGCCACAAGAGGGGACAAGGTTCAGGAAAACAAAGTTTATTATATTCACAGCTTCTAAAGAGAGGCACTGCATGCCATGAGGGAGTCATGTAGTGGGAGCATCAATGGGGCCAGCTCAACCAAGCAGCTGGGGGTGCCGAGAGAGAAAGAGGACCCATGGGCAAGTGCCTTTATTGGGGGTCAAGGTGGAGTACATAAGCAAAAGGCACAAGAAGATTTTCTGGGTGTGTTTGAAGGTCACTAAATCACAGTCAGGGGCAGGGAGGAAAGGGTACTTGTGGCAAGGGCTAGCCTTATGCCACCTGTGTAGAAGCTCAGGACCTCTACAGGAATAATCCATTGTCTTACTTTTTTTAAATCATCAAACAAACATTGAATGTCTGCAATATATGGCATCAGAAGAGAAGCAAAAAGCAAAGCAAAAAAAAAAAAAAAAGAATTAGACACAGCATCCACAGTTAAATTGCTTACGATTTGATTTTATCAAAATGCCTTACCGTAGATTCATCAACATTCATACTTCAAATGACTAATGTGCATCAGTAATTTAAAATAACCTTAAAAAGCATGCTGATTAATAACTATATGAAGATAGCAATACTATGCAAATGCATAGGATGCATAGGTACGGGAGATTGAGGTATTGAGACTGAGGGAAAAGGACTGATATTAAAAATCCATTTGCTAAAATCTCAGATCACGGTATCTTATTATTTTCTGAAGATTTTATCCAGAGCAGTGATTTTTCCTCAGAGTCCATATTTTTGTTGAGAGGCTTGGGGATCTATGAATGTATGCACAGTTGTGTACACATGAGCATCCTTCTGGGGGGAAATCTAAAGTTTACACTAATTTCTAAAAGTAATAAAATCCTGGCTTCCCTGGTGGCACAGTGGTTAAGAGTCCGCCTGCCGATGCAGGGGACACGGGTTCGTGCCCCAATCCAGGAAGATCCCACATGCCGCGGAACGGCTGGGCCCGTGAGCCATGGCCGCTGAGCCTGCGCGTCCGGAGCCTGTGCTCCGCAATGGGAGAGGCCACAACAGTGAGAAGCCC